ATAGGATGGTTCAGATCGGTGTTGATCACGTCGCTTTGTGGGTCCACCTTATCTCTTTCGTTGGCCGTCCAGTGCCGGCTTTGGTGTGGATTCTCTTCATATCTTCTGCCTGCATGTGGGTTGTTTTGTGATGGTCACGTTGTCCATCTTGGTTTAATTTCTGTGTGAACTTTTAGGTGGGTGGTTGTTACTGGCCTTCAGAATCAACCCCTAGCTGACCCTCCAGCAGGTGTTGAGATGTGGGACATCTCCTGGGAGGAGACAGCCCATCCCACCCGAAGGCAGCCGGTGCACGGGCGCACACTTGCCTTTGGAAACGCCCTTCCCGCTAGGCCTTCAGAACTCTTAGGTGGTGGTGGCGGCCGTCCTGTTTCACAGGTGAGGAAACGGGTTTAGACCATCGGATGTGAACAGTCAGAGCTGGGGTTTGAACCCGGCCTGCCCACAGGGCCTGAGCCTGGCCTTCTGCACACAGGAGGCCGCCAGCTTGGGGCAGCTTCTCTCCGTTTGTCTGGTCGTGGGTGGTCTGTTCATGTTTGAGGACACGGCAGCCTGGCCGGTGGTGCTGGGCCAGTGAAGGAGGGGGGACTTGAGAGCCCGGGGCATGGTGAACGCCTGGGTCTCCCTTGCCTGCTGGGCAGATCCCTACACGCTCAATGCAGGAAGGAGGGCAGGGCTGTGGGGACACTTCTGCTGACCACGTTCTGTCCCCATGAGCTTGCCTCGGCAGAGGCCAGGTGATGTGTGTCCAAAATTCACAAGCTAGGTGGTCAGCACTACTGGACCCCAGTATGGGAGCCGGGCTGCACAGGAGAGTGGCCTCAAGGCAAGAAGGGAATGCTTAGGGCCGGTGCTGCGTCCCTCGGACAAACCACGACTGTCCTCTGAGAAGCTTCCTGCTGCGCCAGAAAACCAGTGACCAGAAGGGAGGGCCTGGATGCCACAGGCCTGGGCAGTCTGGGAGAGCTTCCTGGAGGAGGCAGCGCTTGTTTGGGAGCCCCCAGCCTTTGGGACCTCTGAACTTAGCACCACCATTTCCGCTCCCTGTCTTTGCGTCCTCTGGCTAGGGTGACCCTTCCCTTGAGTTCATGTGATGACACATGGCCCTCCTGGCTAAGTGGGTCCTGTGGCCTGTCCACAGGAGACTTCCCCCAGGAGAGAACTGTCATAGGGAGGCCCTGTGCTCCTGAGGGTCCCTGTGAGGGGCTCCCTCTGTGTGGCCTCCAGGCTGAAGGCAGGTCCCCACGACTCACCACTCCTCCCTGCACCCCCCCCAGCTTTCTCCTCCTCTGACACCCCAAGACCGCCACCATGGACTTCCAGCACCGCCCAGGCGGCAAGACGGGGAGTGGGGGTGTGGCCTCCTCCTCCGAGAGCAACCGGGACCGCCGCGAACGCCTGCGGCAGCTGGCCCTAGAGACCATCGACATCAACAAGGTGGGCAGGGCCGGGCGGGCACGGGCAGGGCAGGTGGGCCTTGGGCTCCTTCCCTACACACAGGCCCAGAATCCCCTCCTGGGTCTGAAAGACTCTGGTTTGCGGGGTGGGGGGGCTGTGTGTTTTGAAATGCACCTGAGATACAGAGAATTGGCCAGCACCGGGCTGCGTCCTGGCATCGGGATGAGGTTGCTGCAGCCAAAACCAGCCGGTGGAGTCATGGGATTTACCCCTCGGTGCTGCTGACCTGACCACATTGTTCTCGGGGATGAAGCTGTCCTGGGCCCCTTGCCTCCTCCAAGACGTGTGGGGGACACAGCTCAGGCCTGCCTCCCATGTTAGAGGCTGCATTTTAATGCACATGGGGGTGTTAAAAGCCACATGGATGGCCTCTGCCTTGGCGACAGAATAGCACCTTGTCCGTGTCCACTGAGAGCAGGGATGGTGGGACAGGCCTCGGCCGCAGGATGTCAGCATCTCATGGAGGCCCCGTCCCCTTGTTCCCTCCCAGGACCCTTATTTCATGAAGAACCACCTGGGCTCCTACGAGTGCAAGCTCTGCTTGACCCTCCACAACAATGAGGTGCGTCTCCAGCCAGGGGTCCTCCTCCTGCACCTACCCCCACCCCCCGCTGCCCTGCCCTGCTGCATGCCCCCACCCCTCGTCCTGTCCCTGCCCCCTGCCCTGACTCACCCCCGACCCCTCGTCCTGGCCCTGCCCCGGCCCTGCCCCCTGCCCTGGTTCACTCCACACCCCTCGTCCTGCCCCTGCCCCGCCCGCTCCGCTGCCCCTGACCTTACTGTTTGCCCCTTGATCATCAGTGGACTCCATTGATGCATTGACCATAGGGTTTGCAGCCATACCGTGTCCCCTTCCAACACTTGGTTCCACCAACAGCTGTGCATTAAAAGGTGCTAACACCCAGCCCCCCCAGGAACTTGGGGGCTCTGGCTCTGAGAGCGCCTCCTGCTGCCTTGTGCACAAGCTCTGGCGGTCTGTCTTGCCCAAGTGTGTCCTCTGTATCGTCCTGGCCCCATGGCCCCCGGCTCTTGGGCCCACCAGGCACTGTCTGCCTCAAGCCGACCCCTCGAGTCCAAGGTGTGGGCCTACACGCCCTACTGCATGATGTCTCTCTCTGCAGGGAAGTTACCTGGCTCACACGCAGGGGAAAAAGCATCAGACCAACCTGTGAGTACCAGACCTGTGGGGTGACACTCATTTCCAGGGGCACTCACGTGGGCACCTCCCTGCACCTGGGCTGTGGCCTTGAATGCCTGTCCTCCCACCCACAGGGCCCGGCGAGCTGCCAAGGAGGCAAAGGAGGCCCCGGCCCAGCCTGCACCCGAAAAGGTCAAGGTTGAGGTGAAAAAATTTGTGAAGATTGGCCGCCCAGGCTACAAAGGTGAGTCTGTCTGGGCAGCACCTGGTGCTAGTTCTCTGTGAGCTGGGGGCAGCCTCGCCCAGCTCCTCCCCGCTGGGCCTGGTTACAGCCACCCTCGGAGGTCGTCACCGCCCAGCTCAGCATGATGCCCTCGGACCCTGGTGTTCTTGGGTCCAGGGCACAAAGGGCCACCTAGACCTGTCTTATCTTGCAGTCACCAAGCAAAGGGACACGGAGGTGGGCCAGCAGAGTCTCCTTTTCCAGGTGAGGCCTTGCCCTCCCTGCTCTGCCCCACACCCACCCTGTGTCTCCATGCCCTGGGGTCTCCCTTCCCTGAGGTCTCCCTGTCCCGCAGTCTCCCTGCCTCTCCTGCTTCGGGGTCTCCCAGACTGGCCTTTCCCTCTTGGAGGTCCTAAGAAAGGTATCGCCCATCGTTGTGCCCTCAGATTGACTACCCAGAGATCGCTGAGGGCATCATGCCCCGGCACCGCTTCATGTCCGCCTACGAGCAGCGGATCGAGCCCCCAGACAGACGCTGGCAGTACCTGCTGATGGCGGCCGAGCCCTATGAGACCATCGCCTTCAAGGTGTGGGGCTGGAGTGGGTTTGGGGGCTATCCTCTCAGGTGCAGGAGCAGGGAGGCAGTGGTTCTCCATGACTTCTGCCCAAGAAGGGGGTCCCTCTGAGGTGGTACTGCTCCCACATTTCCCTGAGGCTGCCTGGTCACCATGCCCTGCACTCATCCTGTGATGACCCTGGGTCCGGACACTAGCTCTTGCCGTTCGAGATCTACCCCAGGCTGTCAGGGCCCCAGTCTGCGCGCCCACCAGCCCCGGCCCTGACCCCAAAGCCCTGCCTTTCTCCCACCCAGGTGCCGAGCAGAGAGATAGACAAGGCCGAGGGCAAGTTCTGGACCCACTGGAACCGGGAGACCAAGCAGGTGGGCTGCCAGCAGTGTCCCCACAGACCACAGGGGGGTCCAGGCACAGCCACGGGGGGGTGGGGGGGTCCAGGCACAGCCGCCCACTGAAGCTGTCCTATCTGGGCCTCCCAGTTTTTCTTGCAGTTCCACTTCAAGATGGAAAAGCCCCCCGCACCACCAGCCCTACCTGCTGGGCCTCCAGGGGTGAAGCGGCCCCCACCCCCTCTGATGAACGGACTACCCCCAAGGCCACCGCTGCCTGAGGCCTTGCCCCCGCCACCACCTGGAGGCCTGCCCCTGCCACCCATGCCACCCACAGGACCAGCCCCCTCAGGGCCCCCTCAGCTGCCCCCACCAGCACCCGGGGTGTACTCCCAACCCCAGTGGTTCACCCACCAACCTCTGGGGTCCATCCTCCAGCTCCGGGGGTCCACCCTCCAGCCCCAGGGGTCCATCCCCCAGCCCCAGGGGTCCATCCCCCAGCCCCAGGGGTCCACCCCCCAGCCCCAGGGGTCCACCCCCCAGCCCCAGGGGTCCACCCTCCCCCATCTGCAGGAGTTCACCCCCAGGCTCCAGGGGTGCACCCACCAGCAGCTGGGGTTCACCCTCAGCCTCCAGGGGTGCACCCACCTGCTCCTGCTGTTCATCCCCAGGCCCCTGGGGTGCATCCACCCACTCCCGGGGTCCACCCTGCAGCCCCAGTTCATCCCCAGGCTCCAGGGGTTCACCCGCAGGCTCCAGGTGTCCACCCCCAGGCACCAGGGGTCCATCCTCAGGGACCAGGCGTTCACCCCCAGCCTCCTGGGGTTCACCCGCAGGCTCCTGGGGTTCACCCCCAGCCTCCTGGGGTCCACCCTCCTGCTCCTGGGGTGCACCCCTCAAACCCTGGGGTGCACCCCCCAACTCCAATGCCCCCGATGCTGAGGCCCCCACTCCCCTCCGACGGCCCAGGAAGCCTTCCTCCCCCTCCTCCAGGCAATTGAAGGATAACCTCCCTGCCCGGCCCCCGCCCCCTCTTGTGGAGAAGTGCCTGTTTATACACAGCGCTCTGTGCAGCGTGTCATCCCCACCACTCAATAAAGTCCCCTGGGCCTCCAGTGCATTGTGTGTCTGTGGGATAGGGGTCCCCACTGCTCCCCAGCTGTGTGCATATGACGTGGGGGGGTGTGGCTGCTGGGCGAGGTTCGTGGCTGATGACTCCCTGCTAATGGGAGGCCACTGGGCAGGGGTCATTGTGGATAGGGAGCTGCTGGGCTGGGGGTGTCACTGTTGATGGGGGGGTGTTTACCGATGAGATGCCTCTGCAGGTCAGCCGTCTTCAGCACAGTCACCCCTGGCCAAGCTGAGCACCCTCCTACCCCAGGCCTGGAGCTTGGCCACAGCTCTGCCCGCCACTAACCCCCCCCACTGGCCTGGTCCCCACCCCTGGCCCAGACCTGTTTACCATCCCACCAGTCACTCCCAGGGAGGGAGGCTCAAGGTCGTGGGGAGAGACAGATAGCTGGGAATAGAACGGGAAGTGTCCAGTGAAGACACCTCCTCCAGGCTCACCCAAGGCGCCCCCCAAGGTCACATCACAGGAGCCAGCCCCCACCCCCGGCATTGGGCGTGAGCCTTACTTAAGCTTGGCCACCTGGTCCCCAGCACCACAATGCTTGTCTCCTCATCTTGCCCTGGCCTAGCCCTGGTGCTGGCCACAGTGGGGGCTGTGCTGGGGGTCAGGACCCCGAAACAAGAACCTCTGAGTGTCCCAGCCACCCCTGAGGAGCCAGCCATGAGCCTCAGGGGCCTGACCTCAAGAAATGACTGGACCTGGTCACCCTTAGACAGGCCTGGGGACCACCTGTGCCTGGTGTCGCTGGGCAGGGGCAGTGGAAACAGTGGGACCCTGCGAGTGGTGGGTACCCTGGGGGACTCTGAGCAGGCCTTCCTGGACACCGTGCGCCGTGCCCACTGGGGGCCTCAAGACCTGGCCACCTTCGGCCTCTGCACCTCCAGCAGCGAGCAGCCTGCCCTGGGCCCCCTACAGCAGCTAGGCTCCTGGCTCAGTGCACCTGCGGGTCAGCACCTGGTGGTCCTGCACCTGGAAGAAGGTACGTGAGGGCTGGGCACGTTCCTCTCTGAGAAGGCAGGTGCTGCAGCGCTGCCCACAGCGCCCAGCTGCCCACAGTGCCCAGCAGGGCCCTTCCACCCCCAGGACCACGGAGAGAGCCACATACACAGCCCAGTGGGCAGCAGGCACAGTACTCAGCCACGTTCAGAGACACGGCTCCACCAGGTCATGGGGTTCCCAGAACCAGAGACCTAGAGAAGCCATGGCACCTGTGCCCACACCCTCGATGTCTCTGCCCTCCGCCGGCCACACTATCCTGCGGGGCTGGCTTCCCAGTTGGGGTGGATCTCCACCCCAGCAGCCATTGGGGGGGACCTGGGCCCAGTGGCTCAGGTGCCCCTCCCCACTGTCTGGCTGCAGTGACGTGGGAACCCACCCCTTCCCTGAGGTTCCAGGAGCCCCCACCCGGAGGAGCTGGCCACCTGGACCTGGCACTGCTGGTGCTGTACCCCGGAGTGGGCTCTGCCACCACAGTCTCGGGTGCTGGGCTGCCGAGAGCCCAGGTATGAGGGGACCTGGGGCCAGCGGAGTGCAGCTGTCAGGGGGCAGAGGGTGGGGGTGGCGGTCAAGGGCAGGGGTCGGTCAGGCGAGGGAGCATGGCTCTGCCTGCCCAGCGCAGCTGCTTCATGTCCGCAGAGTCTCTGTCCGGCCCCAGACACTCGCTACCTGGTGCTGGTCGTGGACCGCCCTGACACTGCCTGGCGAGGCTCTGGCCTGACTCTCACCCTGAGGCTGCATGGAGATGGTAGGCGGTGGGGACCCTGGCAGGATCTGACGAGGGTGGGCAGGCTGCCCGGCCCTGGGCCCTGAGCAGTGCACCTGCTACAGGTGTCCCGCTAAGCATGGCCCAGCTGCAGCGGCTACTACTCGGCCCCAAGACCCACTGCTTCACAAGGACACCTCCCATCCTGCTGCTGCTGCCCCCGAGGCCCCCGCCCACCCCGCTGCCTGCACATGGCCAGCTGGACACCGTGCCCCTCCCAACAGTCAGGTTCGGGGCTGACTGGGGCCAGGGGTAGAAGTGACAGGACAGCCTGAGGGGCCTGGGGAGAAAATAGGGGCCTTGCCTTTTCCCCCTGGGGGGATGGAGAGAGACCTTGGGTGCTCCGGAAGGGGCTAAAATCCAAGGGGCGGGGGGGTTGGGCAGACAGAGGGCTCAAGGTGTTTGTGGCTGAGAAGGGTGGCTGGGGGGTCCAGAGTTTTTGGGGAAAAAGATAGAAAGGAGGTCGGGAGGACCGGGGACTTGGGACAGTGTGGCTGGGGGACCAGGATGCCGAGGAGGGGGGAAGGGGTGGGGTACAGGGAGTGTGTCTAGGGTGCTTGGGATGGCACGCAAAGTACTTGGGAACGAAGGAGGGGTGCAGGGTGCTGGTAAAGGACCGGCAGGAAGGAGGGAGCGCTGTCCGGCGCCGCTCACCGCCCTCGCTCTTCCAGGCCATCCCCACAGCCAGAGGTGCCACACAGCGCAGACCCCTTCCTGGAGACGCTGACGAGCCTGGTGCGCACGCTGCGAGGTCCCCCCGGCCGGGCCTCCCCGCCGCGCCTGGCTCTGGACCCGGGTTCACTGGCCGCAGTCCCTCAGGGCCTCGTCAACCTGTCGGACCCCGCAGCGCTCGAGAGTCTGCTGGACGGCGAGGAGCCGCTGCTACTACTGCAGCCACTGGCCGCTGGCGAAGCCGCTGCGGACGCCGGGCCCGGGCCCTCCCCAGCGCAGGAGGCGCCCTGGGCTGCGGGCTTGGTGCGCCGCGTGGCCGCCGAGCTGCAACTGGCGGCGGCGGAGCTGCAAAGCCTCCCCCGGCTGCCTCCCGCTGCCAAGCCGCTGCTGGCGCGCCTCCTGGCGCTGTGCCCGGGGGACGCCGGCGAGGAGGACGGGCCTGTGCGGCCGCTGCGCGCGCTGCTGCTGCTCAAGGCGCTGCAGGGTCTGCGCACCGAGTGGCGCTGGCGGGAACGGCGCGAAAGACCGCAGCGCAGCTCGAGGGTGGCTCCTGACGAGGAGGACGGACCTTGCGCGCTGCGCGAGCTCGTCGTGGACCTGCGCGCCGAGCGCTCCGTGCTCATCCCCGAGACCTACCAGGCCAACAACTGCCAGGGCACGTGCGGGTGGCCGCAGTCCGACCGCAACCCGCACTACGGCAACCATGTGGTGCTGCTACTTAAGATGCAGGCGCGAGGCACCGCCTTGGCGCGGCCACCCTGCTGCGTGCCAACGGCCTACGGCAGCAAGGTGCTGATTAGCCTCTCGGAAGAGCGCATCAGCGCGCGTCACGTGCCCAACATGGTGGCCACCGAGTGTGGCTGCCGATGACCCCTAGGGCCGGTCACATTCCCACCCGTATTTATTCTGACCCAATATTGCCAATAAAGACCAACACAATTAGTGCGTCTGTGCGTGTTATGTTTAGGACAGGTGGGTACTTTGGATGTTGCAAACACTTTGGGCTTTGCACGTGGTTCAAATCCACTTACTGCTCTGCGGCAAGAAAGGTGGGCGATCTCTGGTTTTACTATCTTTGGAAACAGGTCAGAGGGGCAGCTCTGGTCGGTTCCACTGATGGCACGGAACAATAATCACGGCCCATCTCGAAAGACAAGCCCTCTGATCTACTTGGCAGGAAGCTACGCAGCAGTTCCGCCATGCAGGCACGAGGTCAACGTGGCACCAGCTGGTCTGAAGCTGGTGGAAACGAGTCGCCCGCAGTTCTCCCCAGGAAAGGCCTGGTGATCTTTCGTGAAAATTAAGACCAAGAGAGCTGGAGAAGGGTCGCGAGCAGCCAGGATCCACTCCTGGCAGTGAATTCTCTGGTTGGAGATCTTCCCCCGTCTCCCGACCCTCCTGCAGAACGCAGGTCCCGGGTCAGGCCCACCTCTCCACCCATCGCCATCGCTCAGGCCTCTGCGCAAAGGGCCGGGGCTCCTCGGCGCCCGTCGCCCGGCTCAGTCCCGCCCCCTGTCGGCTCGGTGCTTCGGGCGCGCGGGCCGCTCCTCGGAGGAGGAGCTGCGGCCTCGCCTCCTGGGCTCCCAGGCCGGGCCCTTGCCGCGCTGGGGGTCCGCGGAGTCCCGTGCCCGCGGCCAATGGCTGCCTTCGCGCTCTCCCCGCCGCATCTGGTCCGGGCGCGGCCTCTCCTTCCGCGGCCTCGCCTCCTTCTCCCTCCGCGGCCTCTCCTTCCTGGGCCTCTGCTCCTTCTCCTTTCGCTGCCTCTCCTCCTTCCTCCTCCTCTCTCTGCCGGGCAGCTTCTCCTTGTGCTCTTGTTCCGCCTGGGCCTCCCCGGGGGTCTCCTCGGTGGTCTTGCCGGCCTCCTCGTCTTCCACTGCGGCCTTTCCGCTCCCTGGAGCCTCTGGCCTGGCCTCAGCCTCCTCCTGGGGCTCAGGGGGTGCGGGCGGCGCGGGTGGGGGGACCCAGGCCGTCGGCTTCGGCTGCAGGACGGACAGTGGGCCGAGGGTCAGCGCCCCTTCCCCGCCCGTGGTGTGGGCTCCACACCCCTCACCCCAGGTCACCTGCAGGTTGGCTCTCACCGGAGGCGGTTCTCGAACCTTTGGGGCAGGGCTTGGCGGCACCCACGGTTCCACTGCCTCCTTGCCAATCACCACGTCTAGGGTGAAAAGGGGTCCCCAAGTCAGCCTGGGCGATGACCAGCGCCCCAACCATCTCTGTCATTGTGCAGTGAGCGCTCTGCCCCTGGCCAGTTTTCCTGAAGACAGTTCTCCCCGCCCAGATCTGCTGCAGGTGCACCTCCCCGTCCCCTCCCCTTTGTCCCGCAGCGTTCAGTATGGGGGTGGGGACGGGGCTAGAACGATGGGCACAGCCATCGGGGTGCCAGGGGCCATGCCCTCGGCCTTACAGGGCCTGGGACGTCCATAGGGTGGGGCTGCAGAGACTGTTGCAGGGTGGCCCTACCAGAGGCCCAAGGCCGGTTCCCTACGGGCAGGTGCCCCGCGGGGTGCTCACCGTGGCACAGCTGGCACGCCGAGCCGAGCAGCGCCACCAGCGAGGCGAGCACCAGGCACTTGTTGAGCGTCACGTCTCCCCAGGGCAGCTCGTCGCTCGGGGGCGGCGGCGGTGGCTGTGCGGGTGGCACGCTCTGGGTCTTCTTCCGCGCAGGGGCGCTGCGGGGCGCTGCGGACAAGTGTGCCCAGGCCTCCTGGTCAGTGGGGGGCGGGCCTGGGACCCTTCCCACGCGCGGGCACTGAGGGGCCGCGGCTGGTACCCTCCCCAGGTCTCCTGGTCAACGGGCGGTTTGGGTCGGTATGTCCTGGACCCGCTCCAGGCTCCCTAGTCAATGGGCAGGAGAATGACCCTGGACCCTCCCCAGGCCTCCTGCTCAGTGCGAGGCTGGCATGGTGGCACAGAACACCCCTCACCAGGTGTGAGGACCGAGGGGCGGCAGTCCAGGACCCTCCCCAGGCCTCTTGGTAAGTAGGAGGCTAGGATGGAGGCCCGGGACACCCCTACCCCAGGGGCAGGCACCAAGAGGCAACAGCTTGGGACGCCCCCACCCTCCCACCTCCTTGTCCGTGGACGGCTGGGGCAGTGACCCGGGACATCCCAGCCAGGGACAGGCACCAAGAGGAGGGTTGCCAGCGAGCCCCCCCAGGCACGGGCACCAAGGGGCAGCAGCCCAAGGATCCTCCGGCCTGGATTCTGCTCCGACCTCCACTCTGCACCCGCGAAGATGCCATAATCGTGGTCGAGTGGCTGCGTGAAGCTTCACCAAGCCTTCATGGGTGTGATGAACCATCAAGACCAGCAGTACCTTTATCCTCTGCCCTCAACACCTGGACATCTCTCAGACACTGGGAGCCCCCGCACCCAGATCAGGACATAGTCCCTGGATCTACTCTCCAGGGCTAGCCCATGCACTCCCACACCTCACCCTGCCTTCTGCAAACCCACTTGCTCCAGCTTTCGTCTTCTCCTTCCCGGGGCTTGGGACTCTTTTGACCGCAGGCTCCTTTTCTATCTTCTTGGGCTTGGTGTCCACACCACCCTCACCTGCTGGGGAGTCCTGGGGGAGAGTCAGGAGACACTCTGAGTGCTTCCTCCAGCTGCATTTCCCGCCTTCCTTGACCATCATCACCCAACTCTGGAGGAGGGACCCCTGGGCTACACCTGAGGTCCCCAGCTACTCACCTGAGGCCGGCTGCTGAGGTCGGCCAGGCTAGGCATCCCTGCTGATGGAACAGAGGAGAGTCAAACCATGCCGTCCTCCTCCCAGCTCCGCCCCCTTTACAGATAAGAAAGCACTTAAACAGAGACATGAACAATGGCCTCTGAGACTGATCCTGAGTCAGCCTTCAGAACTGGAACAAAATTCACCCTCGTGACACAATTTTCAGTCACACTATATGAGCAGGACGCCAGGGAGCCACTCTTTAGAGTAACCAACAATATAAGGTCCAAAGGGCAGCATTTGCCCAAGGACAAAGTCTAAAAGGCAGAAAGAGGGAGACTAGAAGGATTAGTGGACATGAGCATCACAGGGTGGGAATGGGGATAGTGTCGTAATAATGTTATAAAACAATGTCTGAATGGTTCAGCAGAAAGCTAATTTGCTTTGCAAATTGTTACTCAGAAAATTATTTTTAAATGAAGGAAAAAGCACTTAAGCAATACAACTATGAGATATCATCTCACCCCAGTAAGAATAACAAAATTTAACAGAGCAGCAAACATCAAATGTTGATGAGGTTGTGGAGGAACTAGAACCCTTATTCACTGTTGGTGGGAGTATAAGACGGTGCAACCACTGTGGAAGGCGGTGTGGCGCTTTCTCAAAAATTTGTAAATAGAAATACCATTTGACCCAGCGATTCCACTACTGGGAATTTACCCTAAAGAAACCATAACTGCCACCCAACCAGATAGATGCACACCCATGTTTATTGCGACTTTGTTTACAAGAGTAAAGAGCTGGAAACAACCCAAGTGCCCATCAACAAACAAATGGATAGAGAAGCTGTGGTATATTCACACAATGGAATACTATGCTGCATTGAAAAAAAGGAACTCATGAAAAATTTTGCAAAATGGATGACCCTGGAGGACATTATGCTGAGTGAAATATCTCAGTCACAAAAGGACAAATATTGCATAGGGCCACTGTTATAAAATGGAACTGACATCGGGGTTGATGGGAGACAGAAAAGGAGTGGAGGAATGATGTACACTGCGTTGAAACAAATGAGGGAGAGAACTGTTTAAAAGGGACATATGAATGGGTATTCTTGTCATTACAGAAGTCTAGAGTGAAGGCTACATGGTGGAGTGGACTTGGAGGGAGGGATTGCATAACAATGAAAGAGTCAAGGAAAAGAGTGAATTGGAGGGAGAGGGTGGGCAAGGAAAAAAGTGCAATAATGAATGACTGGAAACCCTAAGTCTCTGTAAACTTTGATTAAAATGAATTAAAACAAACCTTTTCATAAAAAAAAAGTGCTTAAGCTCAGAGACATCAAGAATCTTGCCCAAAGGCACAGAGCATCTCGATGGCAAACTGAAGTCTGAACCCAGAACTCTGTTTGGAGTTGCTGGCACAGTTCTCAGTGCTGCTAACCCAAGGTCAACATTTCAAACCCATTAGCAGCTCCGCAGGAAAAAGGTGTCTACTCCTATAAAAACCAGGCTTAGAGACCCTACAGGGCTGCTGCTCTGCCCACTGGGGTCAGGGGACAGAGAAGGGTTTGCTTTGGCTCTCTGCTTTCTCCTGACTCCTTGCACACCCCTCAGGCAGGAGCGGGAGAGCACAGTTAAGTATCGGAGGGTCTCAGGAGAAAGTCACCTGCAGGGTCCTCGAGCTGTGTCCTCCCAGGCTTGGCCTGGGCACCTCGGGCTGTGTTCTCCCGGGCCCGTCCTGAGTAGGGGTCAGCCAGTGCAGAGAGGTCCTCCCCGGCCCGGCAGCTGCCCAGGCCTCCATCCAGCTCCTCCAAGGGCCTGGTTGTCATGGCAATGCCAGGAGCTGCAGCATCAGGCTGGAAAAGAGGCAGAGGGAGAGCCTTGCTGGGCCTGGAGCTGCCCTGAGGATTTGTACTGAAATCCGGCTCTGTGCCCTCTCCTGTCACCAGCCTCTGCCCTGGCAAACCCATACTCGCCTCGGGTGGCCCCAGCTGTCCCTGCCAGCCCCCTTCTTGATGGCCCTGGCTCCCGCCTCAAAGTGCCCCTCCCCGGTCCTGTCTCTCGGGGGTCCCTGTGTCCCTAAGCCCAGTAGCCGATGAGGCTGGTGCCCAGAGAGGGTTGGGGGGCTCCTGCGGGGCCACACACTGGTGAGTCAGAAGCACCACAGCCCAGAACCTGCTGGCCACAGGCTCATGCTCTCTGAGTCCGGGGACTATTTTTATCTGGTGTCTCAGGCCAGCAACAGGCCAGTGGGCAGTCCAGTCCCTCCCCCCAGATCCCCACTCCCACTGCGTTTCCCTTGGGGCCATTCCGTCCTGCTAATCCTGACATTCAAGTCTCCACCAGACCCCCTAGACTCTTGGGGTTCAGGACCCCCTGGCTCAGGCCCTGAGGGAGGCATCCTGGGGTATCCCAACCCCAGAACTGATCCCCTGTTCTCCCCTATGGCTTCTGACCCCATTTGGCAGATGAGGAAATTGAGGCTGGAGATGGGGTGTTACACAAAATTTGAGGTGAAATCCACTTTAGTCTGTTTCCCAAAGCTCTACTTTCCAGGGTCCTTGTGTGTCTCTACACTTCCCTCAGACCCCAAGTTTGGGAGGGGGTAGGGCCACCTGTGGGGGAGGGTGCCTATGGAGAGGTAAAACTAGGGGTGCATGTCCCAGGTTGGGAGTAGCCACAGGATAGGGGGCTCTGTGGGCCTTGACAAGCACCTCCTCAGACCTAGAAGCCCCCTCTTTGCTCCGACCTCCCCCAGCCCCACTCACCCGCAGCTGCCGTCTGGTGGACAGGATAGCTCCTAGGGAGGAGGCCGGGTGACAGACAGGAACAGGTGGCCGGAGGGGGCAGGGCTGGCCAATCAGCGTGGCCCAAGTGACTGACAGAGGAGGAGGGGCGGTCGAGGCTGCAGCTGGGGCACCGGGATGAGTGTGCCTGCCTGGGCTGTGTGATCCGGGTAGCTTCACGTCTCTGGGTCTTGGAGATGACTCAGAACACCCAGGGCTGTAATTGTGCCTGCTCTCTGGCGTCCAGTCCAGTCAGCACATGTTGGCAGAGCATGCATTATGCTCCAAGACCTGGGGGGCAAGGACCTGCAGGGTCAGGAGAAGACCCCACCCACAGACCCACTCCAGGACCAGCCAGGCCTGCAGGGATCAAGGACTGCAGAGCCCTGTGGGTCAGGGAGGACTCCCTGGAAGAGGAGGAGGTAAGAGTGTTAGGAGCCAGAGCATCAGGGAGGACTCCCTGGAGGAGGAGGAGATAAGGGTGTCAGGAGTCACAACATCAGGGAGGACTCCCTGGAGGAGGAGGTAAAGGTGTCAGGAGTTAGAGCATCAGGGAGGACTCCCTGGAGGAGGTGTCAGGGAATTCCAACTCATCGCGAACCTCCATGGATTTCAGAGGCTGTAAATCTTTGGGGGAGGAGGAGACTGCCCAGCTTTCTCCCTCAGAGCGACTGCTGGACTCAAACCTGAAGGTCAGTTAGCAGCCTGCCACATTACACATCGCCTTCCTGCTAACTAAAGAGAGAAACCATACAGACAAACAGCTTGGTACTTAAGGGCGATGTTTCCTTTTTGAACGAAACGCCATACGTTAGTGCGACATCTTTGGTGTCCTGTTTAACAGCAACTCTACCAGGATGGATGCGTAGCACAAAATCAGAACATGCAGCCTTTACTGGCCCATTTGATGGTCTTCAGTACATACCTGGAGCTATGAAATCATCACCACTCTGTGATCTGGAATGCTCTTATCACCCCAGAGCCACCAGCTGTCACAGTCATCCAGGCCACCGCTGACCTGGGGCGCTCCCACTATGCGTCTGGCCGACATTTGGCTTGATGGAGTCATACAGCTCCTATGATTCCTCTGGTTTCCGACCTCTGGGCGATACGTTTGCTCTCACTGATGACCACTTGGGTGTGGGCTTTGCTGCGCCCCGTCACTGCACGAGACCCCAAGTCCCCCTCCGACTACGGTGGTGCAGGGGCTCAGCCGTCCACTCCTGGGGACTCAGGGCTGCATCCCTGTCCATCACCAAGGGTACATCCTGCACCCAGACCAGCGAGGTGGAGGCCAGGCTGGGAGCCCCGAGAGGACAGAGACCTTGAGGGGACCCTGCATCATTCAAAATCCTGAGCCGTTACAGTCACAAGAAGCCACCAGGGAAAGGAGCCTCGTGGCCCTGTGTTTAAGCACCTGACTGCTACTATCTGGAGCAGAAAAATCTGGCAACCTTGTCCTGTAAAGATCCCAGCCTGAGACCCCCACAGAGCAATCCATCTGTAACACATGGGGTCACTGTGGGTTGAATGGACTCACTGGCCCCTAGGGACAGTCAAACTCACCTGTGAGTGGACACTGACTGCCAGCCACCCTGCAGAACACAGCAGAACTGCCCCAAGGCAGAACGGGCATCCCAAGGCAGCGGGATTTATGGAAGCCACTGCTGTGGAAGGAACATCTGGTGGGTTTAAACCACTGATCTTTTGGTTAAATAAGCTCAGTAAAATGTTGCTCAATAGAAACATTTAGGGAGCTCTGGGGGCCTAGTGGCAAGAAAACTTCACTGCAATCCCAAAGGCGTGCGGTTCAGATCCACCAGCTGCTCCACGGGAGAAAGATGGGCAGTCTTCTCCCGTGTGATTTACAGCCTTGAAAACCCGCTGCATGGTCAGCTGTGGGTCTCAGTGGTGCTCACCACTCCAGCAGGCTTGTATCTTTCAAGCCAGGTCGATTGCTTCGGGTGCATCTGGAAGTTCAACAGTGAGTGAGGAGGGCTTTGGACTGTGCTGTGTGTGCACCCACGGTGGTAGCCGCCGCTCCAGCTCGAGTCCCTGAGGGTCTTCGCGTCTCTCCGGCCCTCTCCTCCCCTCAGCAGGAGTCCCTTCTCCAGGGACAGGTCCATCCTGATAGTGTGTCCAGAGCACGGGAAACGAACTCTCCGCTCCCCAGCTTCCAAGGAGCGTCTGTCTGCCTGCTCTTCCTCCCAGACACCTTTCTTTGTCCTTCTGACAGTCTGTGAGACAGTCAGTGTTCTGCACCCGCCTCCCCATTTAGGGGGCTGGACGCCCAAATTCAGAGGGCCAGCTCTTGGGAGGTGCTCCCTTTGCTGGACTTAGAGAAAGGGCCACGTGTCCTCTCACCCGTGAGCCCGGCGTCCCTCAGAGTTCTCCTGGCTTGACATCACTCTTCCGGAGGTGTAAGAGGTTCTTAGTATGGGGACCCCAGGCCTAGAGGACAAACTCCACTCTTCACTCTCTTCCCCAGGTGGGCATGTGGCCTCCGCTTCTGTTCACTGCTCTTACCTGCATCTCATTGAGAAGAGAAAATGCCCACACCCCAGGGAAATCCGAGTTCACGGGCTCACGGCTGTGATCTGCGGAGACATGAGCTCAGGGCTGCATCCCACCCTCATCCTGCTTCATCCAAACCCAAAGTTCATTACCGTCAAGTTGGAACCGACCCACAGCTGACCCTGCAGCGGGTTTTCAAGGCTGTATATCACACGGGAGGAGATTGCCCATCTTTCTCCTGCGGAGCAGCTGGTGGATTTGAACCAACACAGTGGCTTGGCCTTGGGGTGAGGAGTGCAGCCCCCTGTGGGCAAGGCCACCAGAGCCCCTCCCGCCTCGTTAAAACATCATAAGACAGGCTGAGCGCACAACGTGGGGAATCTCAACTCAGCTGCAGCAACACAGACTTTTGGGGGACAGAATCCATAAGCTTTCCTCTGATGTTACTGTGAGGTTTTTAAAAAATATGACTGGATTTTGCCTCGTATTTAAAAAAGGCTTTTGGTTGCCAGTCTGGGGCTATTTCCAGGCTGGAAAGATGAGTGCAACAGCTGGATTCTGCAAAGGTGTATTTTCTGGTTTGCGGTTGAGACTAGGGTGTGGCTTTGCTCACAACAGGGTGTGAGCCGATTGGATTTGGCCTCTATTTAAAAAGGCTTTTGGACCCTTGGGACTGTGGCCCTCAGGCCTGGTTTTTGTGAATCTCCCTAATGAAACAGGCTTGGAAGTAAGAGTGATATCCACTTCCGAAAAAAGCTTGTCTCTAGAAACTCTATGAACTTAGAGAAAAGATGAAAGTTTTGTGTTCAAGACTTTCCTTCATAGGGTCGCTATGGGTCATCTACGACTGTATGACACTTAACAACAACCCTAACAACTAACAGTAATAATCTGAATGTGCTTGGCTACTAACCAAAGGGTTGGTGGTTCAAAGCCACGCAGGAGCTGTAGTGTCACATCACAGACAGGCACAGTCCTCCTGGGAGCCACACGTGCTGTCCACTACGGAAACCCATCTGGACTGTGTGGCTCCGGCACCTTCACGTTTGGAGAGGGCACAGTCAAGGCCACTGTCTGCTCCAGGCCTCCTCCTCAGCTGGGCAGGTCCAGCTCCAGGCAGACAGGGAGCCCTGATGGACGCTGTTGGCCTTCAGGTGCTGACACTCAGGTAACCAGTTGCTGCTGGTGCATACCAGTTGGAACTGACCTGTAGCTGACCCTCCAGCGGGTTCCACAAGGCAGTGAATCGCACAGGAGGAGACCACCCATCTTTCTCTCATGTTGCTGCTCCTGGACCCCAACAGTGTGCCTGCAGGTGGGCAGAGTGGCCCCCCACCACTAGACCGCCAGAGATGACTAGAAGCAGCTGAAATGTACACAGACCCCTTCGTCCAGAGCGGGATGGAGGATGAAAGGGACCTCTGCTAAGCCCCCTTCTCTCACGCAGCTCCTGTGTCTTGGGGGAAGGGGGAGGGGAGCCCAGCACCCAGGTCCTGCCACAATGAGCGATGGTTCTAGATCTTTCTCTG